CATTGTCTTCTCCAAATACCCCCATCTCTTTTTTGCTAAAACATCTGGGCACCTACATACTCTTTCTTTTTTAATAGTGTCTTCTTCATTCAAAAAAAAATTCTTTTTTACCCTAATTAGCAAGTTTAAAATTCACCAAAAATTAAACTTACTCCTCTTTAAATATTAAATTCTTTCAAGAAAGAATTTCTTGAATAATTTAATATTTAATCTTGAAATGGATCTATTCCTAAATTTCTAAAATAGTTTCCATCATTTTTCATCATTTTACTTTATCTATTTTTATTCACCATGTTGGATATTTAAGTTTGCAAAAATGGTGGCTGAAAATGGGAAAGAAGAAGAAAAAAATAATTAAAAAATCGACTAAATAGGTTTTTCACGCGCGTTCAACAAGTGTATTACACTCACTATGCCATGTAAGCAAAAAGTGCCAAAATGACACAGCGAAACCCTACATGAGGTGTCTAAAATGAACATCATCCACTTGAGGTGCCTAAGTGAAATTTCGTGTCAAATTTAAGGGGCCACCAATGGGTTAGCCCCCTTTTTTAACTTATTATCACATGACATGTCTTGTGTTTCATTTGCTTTACGCAAACATCATTGGTGACAATACCAAGCTGTCACATTAATAAAACTTAGGACTAAAAAATTTATAGAGTAATTGAACTTCCAAACATCCCCTTTCCCTTGATGTAGTCACGTACTAATAACTATTAGTTTAGTGGATGTAACTTTACCCCCTCGAAGGGACATTACACTGTTTATGTTGTTGGATGTAACTTCACCTTTTTCATTGATATTTTAGCTCCAGTCAAAAGATTTCAAAAGTGAGATAATCCACTCAAAAGGGTTACAAATAATCAACATTTTAATCAAAAGTAACACTAGAAGAAATGATGGATCATAGAAGTAAGCAAATCATGTTTCTACATGAACTAAATCCTATAGAGACATACAAAATTTATAGAGGGTTGGGGAATGAGTGAGTTGGCATTATGAACCCCCCCCCCCCCACCTCCCTCTCTCCAATTAACCAATCAATGACAATATCTTTTAGGGAAAAGGGTCAAAAATACCCCTCAACTTTGGTTTATTAGTTAACTATGCCCTTACCGTTAAAATGAAGTTATTTTTGCCCTGCCGTTACTAATTTCATCATTTATGCCCCTATGTTGACGAAAATCCCCGAATTGACTTAAATTAACCCAAATTCTTTTAAATAACCCATTTCCCATTTTAAACCTATGCCCGACCCGTCTAAAAACCTAACCCAAAATTTTTATCCGTTTTCCTTACCCATTCTTTCAAGAGATCTCAAATCCCCCAATAAACATTTAACCCATTTAACCAATTTCATTTGTTGTTAACCAGTCCAAGACCCGTCTTCTGATAATATCTCATCATGCCTACAAGATCTTCCTCTGTAGTCTTTGAAAATTTTGTAGGGGGTTCATGGGGTTGGTTTACTTTTTGTTGAAACACTTAAAGATGCTCCAATTTTTAGGTACACGAAGAAGATTTATTTCTGGGTTTGTTTTGTTTTTATCTTCTGAAGTTTAAAGCTTGGATCTTTTAGTGTTTTTCACACTTTTATCTTGTTTCAAGATTCAAAGGAAATGTATGGCATGCTGTTAAAGATGTTTTTTTTGGGTTCTTGAGGAATACTTGGATTCTTCTGGGTTTTTTTTTTTGGTAATGGTGAAAGATAAGTTAGGAAAGTGTGTATTTTTATCGAAAGATACAAGTTGTCTAGTGCCGTTTCAGTTTGGTAAATTGGTTTTCTCTTTTAGTATTACCAAAAAAAGGTCACTTCAAGACATTCTCATTTTGTTCAGAGCTCCCAAGAAGAATAATGCTTTTTAAAAAGTTGAATTGTTGTGAAGACAAAAGGGTAGAAGAAGCAGAGTACTGGAGCTTGTTTGTTTTCTATCATAAAGGGGCATTTCAGTTTGTAAGATTTAAGAAAAATGGCTTCCGGATGGTAAGTCGGTGTTGGATAACCAAAAGTATGTCCGGTATACACCTGGGCAGGTTGAAGTCCTTGAGAGGTTTTTAGATGGGTAAGGAAAACAAATAAAATGTTTATTGGGTTAGGTTTTTAGAGGGGTCGGGGAATGGGTTATTTAAAAGAATTCGGGTTGATTTAAGTCAATTTGGGGATTTCCGTTAACATAGGGGCATAAATGATGAAATTAGTAACGGCAGGGGCAAAAATAACTTCATTTTAACGGTAAGGGCATAGTCAACTAATAAATCGAAGTTGAGGGGCATTTTTGACCCTTTTCCCTATCTTTTATTACCATGCACAAAATGTGTTTGTAATGTACAACATATTGGAAGGACAAAAGAGATGCGATGACAAGATTTATGGAATCTTTTACACAAAAGAAGAGATTGGGTTGTCCTGGTGAATTGACTAATCGAAAGACTTATTTGGGATTTTTTGAGACATTGAAAGAGAAACACATGATATTGTTCATTTTGTAATTTTTTTTGAAAATATAACTGTTATGTGAGTGGAGAAAGATATTTTTGAGAAATAATTCCAAAATACTTTTTTTTTTAAAAAAAAATACCTATTGAAATGTTATATCACCACAATAATAATTTTGACAGTGTTTGCTAAGATTAGAGCCATTAGAAGTTGGGACAAAATAGCCCTATAAAAAGAGCTCAAACTACAAAAATAAAAATCTTTTCTACAACTTCATTTAGCTAAGAATTATCAAAAGAATGCAAATATTTCGAAACGACATCCACATATTCTTATAAATGAGTTTTGTGCCTGAAACCATTCCATCAAATTGTCTTGCTTGCCCGGGGACCAACACCCAAGTAGTTTGTTATGAGACCCGTGATACCAAACATCATGGCCAATGAGATCTGCTTAAGATCATTTTCCATATTCCTTATGTTAGCAAGGGATAGCACACTGAATATAATAACAATCCATGAGCAAATCTTGTATCTGCTAACATGGCACCAAAGACGCCGAAGATGACGGCTATGAAGGCGTAGTAATCTATAGGAAGATCTTGTGGATCGATCAACAAAGGCTTGTACGGTTTCGCCACCATATTTGAGTAAAAAGATTCAATGAGATTTGCAAATTCAATTGCTCTTTGGGTGACTTAAATAAGGGACCTTAGTTAAGGGAAGATGAAAAGAATCAAATTATTAAAAATTTTTTAGCCAAAAATTAAAAAGACCCATCAATTCCCAACTTAATTGTTTGACCTTTGATCTTCATCAAACAAAAGATGAAGAAGGAATTGAAGATCGTGCCTGCAAAAAAGGAAGAGTCTATTGACTTCAATCATAATTATGAGTATTTTTAATGCAATATTATTAATGTAGAGCAGATAATTGCTTCTTTAATTTATATATATATATATAAATCATATATTATTATAAGTGGGAACATCACAAATGAAAAGTTGAAATACCAAAATGCCCATGTAAAATTAAATGACTCTATTACCATTTTTAAGGTAAAAAAAAAATCTGATTTTCCCACTTTTAGTCATATTTTTTCACTAATTCTTTTCATTTTATTTAATATGAAGTCCAAAAGTCCATGTAACGTGGGTAACATCTTATAAACAGAAGTTCAAAGATCACAATTGATTTCTTAGTGAAATACAATTCATGTTCTACTATGTTTCTTAATTACTGATGAAATTCATAATGAAAGATTAGTCGGTTAATTTGACATGCTTATTTGGCTCTCGATAGAGTGTTCTACTTTAGTATAAATATATTTTCGAAATTATTATTTATGAGTTAGAGATAGAAATAACTAAATGAGAAATCAAATATGATATTTTTTTTTTTAAAAAAAAATCCATACCCTAAAATAAAATGGGCCACCGAATTGGAGATAAAGGATGGATCATACTCTATATAGTATATATGTGATTTTGAGGCTGTATTTTTATTTAACTTTTCGTTTATATGTATAAACTATTGACCTTATTAGTCTATTATTTATGTGTTGAAACATTCATTCCTCAAAAATTGACCATATATCTAGAATAAGTCACTTTGAAAAGTTTGTATTACTCAATTTATATTAATTATTCAAAGAGAAATTTTATGAAAAAAGGAGTATTATTCTTTTCTCTTCATAAATCATGTGTACAATACTTCTCTAAGGTTAAAAAGAAGATGTATATGTGATATAATAATAAAAATAATTGACATATTAATTATGGTGATGACTGCAAGTGTGATTCCTAATGTACCAAGTGTTTATATCATAAATTTACATATGTACCACACTGATGAAATCTTTTAGAACTTATAAATTGTATGCATCAAACGTCTATATACTGTGATAATAAGCTATTTATTGTTGATGTAAAATTTTAACTATGGCTGGAAAATTGTCAAACTCCAATCTATAGATTATTGACCGGAGCTAGACCCATAAATAGTTAAGTAGTAATTGTCCAAATTAGAATGTCTACTTTTGCCTTAGAGATATTATTTTATTTATGAGAATGTGATATTCTTCTGCCTAATTATTGAATGTTAATTATTTCTCATAACCATAATTTTTTAAAATTAAAAGTTCAATATGAAGAGTCATTCTCCACTATTTATGTAAAAACACTTTGAGAATTATCATAGGACTGAAATTGCACTATTGAACATGAGAAGAAAAGAGAATGAGAAACCGCACATGAAGGATAACAAAAAAAAATACTATATATATCATCTATTTAGTGTTCTTCTTCATAGTATATCTTTTATTATTTAGTGAATAAAATATAAATGGTAAAACTACTCTTGTTAATTTCAGCATTTCCTATTTTATTACTCAACTTTTTAGTATATAGAAATTTAATAATAATAATAAGGGACAAACGTGCAAGGCACGTTCTCCGAAACTAGTTATATAAAAAGGGTAAAACGGTAATTCAACTTTTGACTGGATTTGGTCGAAAGGGTCATGCCATAGGAGATATTCGTGGTGTCAGGTTCAAAGTTGTGAAGGTTTCTGGTGTTTCTCTCTTGGCTCTCTTTAAGGAGAAGAAGGAGAAACCAAGATCTTAATTTGCCAAGATACTGTTGCCATGGACTTTTAGTTTGCTTGAGTATGTACTTTTTGAGCAACTATCTTTAATGTAGGCACATTTCACTGGAATTTTGGTTCATTTTTGTTGAGTTCCTGGTGTTACCTAACATCATCTTGCTTCCCCCTCACCCTGCCCTACCCACAAAATAAATGAAAAAGCTGCGTATACACTATGCCTATTAGTTTAGTGGATGCAACTTTACCCTTGGAAGGTAATGATAAGATTTGTGTATACACAATCTTCTTTAGACTCGTGCGATATTACACCGATTATGTTGTTGTTGGATGTAACTTCACCTTTTTACATGGATATTTCATCTCCAGTCAAAGATTTCAAAAGTGAAAGAATCCACTGAAGGGTTAAAATAATCAACATTTTAATCAAAAGTGACACTAGAAGAAGTAATAAAAAAATAAACAAATCATGATTTTACATGAACTAAATCCTTTAGACACATACAAAATTTACAGAGGGGGTGGGGAATGAATGAGTTGGCATGCATAATAAATTAGAAAAGTAAGGGCCCTCCTTCCAATTAACCAATCAATTTTTATCACCATATACAAAATGTGTTTCTAATGTATCACATTTGAAGGACAAAAGAGATGTGATGACAAGATTTATGGAGTCTTTTACACAAAAGAAGAGATTGGCTAGTGGTGGTGAATTGATTAATCGAAAGGCTTTTCTTGGGATTTTGTGAGACATCGAAAGAGAGACACATGGTATTGTTCATTTTGTAATTTTTTTGAAAATATAACTATTATGTGAGTGGAAAAAGATATTTTTGAGAAATAATTTCAAAGTACTATTTTTTTTTTTAAAAAAATACCTATTGAAATACCATACTGGGTTCTGAAGAGGGTAGAATGTACATAGAGAAGTTTTTGAAAAACTTTTGGCTCAAGTTCAGCAAATCCACAACTTGTTTAAAATTTTCAAGTTTATGTTTGTTTATTGTCACAAAATCATGACAATGAAAAATAATATTTGTCTCTTATATAACCTCTATTATTTGAATAACTGTTTTGATAAACATATATTATAGCCTCAATCTATCACTTATAATATAAATTGGTGAATGTACAAGAATCATGTTTGTATAGTACATGTCCATTTCAATTTCCATTAACAAAAGTGGCCACAGGTCCACTGACTGAAACTGGTACTATTATTAAAGTGACCATCCATTGAAAATCTGAAGCTAATCAACAATGACTGTTTCTTAGAGTGTGTATAAAAGGAGGCTATGTCATAGTTGGAAAACACAAATAAAGAGATATAACTATGAAGACAATACTACCTTTTCTTCTCTTTTCTTTGTGTCTTTCTTTGTTTTTAGGAACCTCAGCTGAGAGGTCTACCTACATTGTCCATTTGGATAAGTCTTTTATGCCTAAAATCTTTGCTACTCACCAAAATTGGCATTCTTCCATTATTGATACCCATCAAGATTGAAGCTCCCACTACACAAAATAGCCACCATCCCAGTTCCAAAGCTTCTTTATTCTTATGACAATGTGCTTCATGGATTCAGTGCTGTTTTGTCTAAAGATGAATTTGAAGCTCTCAAGAAGTCACCAGGCTTTCTTTCAGCTTATAAAGATAGGCCTGTTGAAGCTCACACTACACATTCCCCTGAGTTTCTTAAGCTTAATCCTGCTTCTGGGCTATGGCCGGCGTCTGGTTTTGGTGAAGATGTGATTATCGGAGTACTCGACACTGGTGTCTGGCCAGAATCTGCTAGTTTCAGAGATGATGGACTATCTGCAATACCAAAAAAGTGGAAGGGAATTTGTAAGCCAGGAACAGATTTCAATTCTTCTTTATGCAACAGGAAACTCATTGGGGCGAATTATTTCAATAAGGGGCTTTTGGCTAGTGATCCTACTATTGTTCTTTCCATGAATTCTGCAAGGGATATGAGAGGTCATGGCACTCATGTTGCTTCCATTGCTGCTGGTAGTTCTGTTAAAGGAGTTTCATATTTTGGATATGCTCCTGGAACAGCAAGAGGTATTGCGCCACAAGCTAGGATTGCTGTATATAAGTTTAGCTTTGAAGAAGGGACCGTCACTTCTGATTTAATTGCTGCTATGGACCAAGCTGTTGCAGATGGCGTTGACATACTATCAATTTCTTATGGGTATGGTTTTGGTCCATTGTATGAAGATTCTATTGCAATAGCTTCTTTTGGTGCCATGATGAAGGGTGTGTTAGTCTCTGCTTCAGCTGGGAATAATGGTCCTGAAATGGGAACTTTATCCAATGGAGTCCCCTGGATCTTTACTGTGGCATCAGGCAGTACTGACCGATCATTTTCCGGGACTATAACTTTTGGGAATGGCTTAAAGATTACTGGATTTAGCTTGTTTCCAGTGAGAACCACCATAAAGGATTTTGATTTGGTTTACAATGACAGCTTATCCGCTTGTGAGTCATCTGATGATTTAGCCCAAGTCCCTAATAAAGCACGTAGCATCACGATGTGTTATAGCACTGCACAAGAAGACTTATCAGTCTCTGATCAAATGGGGGCTATCTCAGAGGCAAAATTTGGTGGCGCACTCTATGTTTATGGAGATCCGGATGTATTGACATCCAATTATTTTACGAATCCTGGAGCTGTAATTAGCAGCAAGGATTGGGAAAAGGTGGTAGACTATGCAAAAACAAGTGCTAAACCAAAAGTCAGCATCAGTTTCCAGGAAACACATTTTGCTGTTAAGCCTGCTCCAGTTGTTTCTGCATTTTCCTCGAGAGGCCCCTCCCTAAGCTATCTACGAGTTGCAAAGCCAGATATTATGGCACCAGGGGAGTTAATTTTAGCAGCCTGGCCATCGAACACTTCAGCTGCAATCATTGGTGTCAATACATTTTTGGATAGTGATTACAGGCTTCTTTCAGGCACTTCGATGGCTGCTCCTCACATTTCCGGAATTGCTGCAATGCTAAAAGGAGTACATCCTGATTGGAGTCCTTCAGCTATTCGATCTGCCATGATGACCACTGCAAGCCCTTTGGATAATACTGAAAAGCCCATCAAGACCATGGATTACCTCAGAACCAATTATGCTACATCTTTATCCATGGGAGCTGGACTTGTTGATCCAAACCGTGCAGTTGATCCAGGCCTGATATATGATGCAACTCCACAAGACTACGTGAATCTTCTCTGCTCCATGAATTTCACAGAAAAGCAGTTCAAGACAATTGCTAGATCATCAGCTAAGCACAACTGTGCAAATCCATCCGATGATATCAATTACCCATCATTTATTGCTCTCTATATCCCAAATGGGGACTATGCTTGGTTGGAGCAGAAATTCACGAGGACAGTCACAAATGTTGGACCCGGTGCAGCTAAGTACAAAGTAAAAGTGAAAGCACCAATAAACTCGACAATTTCTATCTCTCCACAGACCTTGGTGTTTGAGAAAAAACATCAGAAGCAGGACTACACTCTTACCATACGTTACAGAGGCATTGAATTTGACCAAGCACAATCTGGTTCAATCACTTGGGTGGAAAAGAACGGTCATCACACCGTAAGAAGTCCTATAGTAGTTGCTCCAGCGCTTGATGCCCCAAATGAAAATGATTGATGCCCCAAACTGAAATGCTGCAGTTGATAATACTGTTGCATTTGTAAGTTTGTAACTCTCCTCAAGAGGGTTCTGTTAAAGTAGCTGGAAGTATTCTGGCAAAGCATGTGCATGTTTGAAGTAATTGTTGAATAATGTTTTATTTTCTTGTGTTACCAAAAAACCAAGACTTTGTTGAATAGATGTTTGATTGGCAATAGGGGTCATTAATCAGTAGCAACATTCACACAATAGGACTGAAATACTTAGATGTTATGTGGAAGCTAACATTTAACAATACAAATTTTGTACGAAATATAAATGAAATAACAAAAAGAATATATCAAACGAGACAATAATTTAACATGGTTTGATCAAGTATGAGGAATTCACTAATATAAAAAAGAGTACAAAAATAGTACATATACTCCACTAGAACTGAGTATATAGATATACAGAAAAAGAGAGTCTCTCTGTGTATATAGGAGGGAGAGGGGATGCATACAATTAGAAAGTATGTACCTCCCAATCAATTACAATAAGGTAGGGTCATTTTTTAATATGCGACATACTAATCATCAATCACAATATGGTAGGGTCATTTTTTAATATGCGACATACTAATCATCAATCACAATATGGTAGGGTCATTTTTTAATATGCGACATACTAATCATCAATCACAATATGGTAGGGTCATTTTTTGATATGTGACATACCAATCAATCACAATATAGTAGGGTCATTTAAAGAAAAATATAACTTTTTACTTGCAAAAGATTCTCAATTTACTCACAATATAATATAACTAAAAAAAGGGAGATATATATATAAAAGAAAAGCTTATAAGCATTTATGTGAAAAATTTATCTAGTGCATGCATTAAAGCAACAAGAATATAATATTTGTCTATATACTGTTTGTTACTTAATCATTAGTATTTTGATTGATATATATTCCAATCTCAATTGAACACTTAAAAATATGGTGCAACATTCTTCCTGTGTAGTGTGAACACAGTTAGCACACAACTTAGACTAGCAAAAGTCTCCACAGGTCCACTGACCAACAAGTCTTAGAAAATGACAGCTTACCAACAAGTTTACTTCACAAAATCAGTCAACTAGGACTGTTTCTTAAGGTGTATATTTAAAGGAGGCTGTGTTATAGAAGGAATAACACAAAGTGTAGAGAAAAAAACTATGTTAGGAGTACCTTTTCTTCTGTTTTCTTGGTGTCTTTTTGGTCCTTCTTTGTTATTAGGAACCTCAGCAGAGAGGTCTACTTACATTGTCCATTTGGACAAGTCTTTTATGCCTAAAATCTTTGCTACTCACCAAAATTGGCATTCTTCCATTATTGATACCATCAAGATTGAAGCTCCCACTACACAAAATGGCCACCATCCAGTTCCAAAACTTCTTTATTCTTATGACAATGTCATCCATGGATTCAGTGCTGTTTTGTCTAAACATGAGCTTGAATTGCTCGAGAAATCGGCAGGTTTCCTTTCAGCTTATAAAGATAGGAGTGTTGAAGCTCACACAACTCATACCTCAGAGTTTCTTAAGCTCAATCCTGCATCTGGACTATGGCCAGCTTCTGGTTTTGGTCAAGATGTTATCATCGGTGTACTCGACTCTGGTGTCTGGCCAGAATCTGCTAGTTTCAGTGAAGATGGATTGCCTGAAATTCCAAAAAGGTGGAAGGGAATTTGCAAGGCAGGAACAGATTTTAATTCTTCATTGTGTAACAGGAAAATCATTGGGGCTAATTATTTCAACAAAGGGATTTTGGCTGATAATCCTACTGTGAATATTTCAATGAATTCTGCAAGGGATACTAGAGGTCATGGAACACATGTTGCCTCCATTGCTGCTGGTAATTTTGCTAAAGGCGCTTCATATTTTGGATATGCTACTGGAACAGCAAGAGGTATGGCGCCACGAGCTAGGATAGCTGTGTATAAGTTTAGCTTTGAGGAAGGAACCTTCACTTCTGATTTAATTGCTGCAATGGATCAAGCTGTTGCAGATGGTGTTGACATAATAACTATTTCTTATGGGTGGGTTAGGATTCCAGTGTATCAAGATTCAATTGCGATAGCTTCTTTTGGTGCCATGATGAAAGGTGTCTTAATCTCTGCTTCAGCTGGAAATAGTGGCCCTGAAATGGGAACTATAAATAATGGTGTCCCTTGGATCTTTACTGTGGCGTCATGCAGTACTGATCGAGCATTCTATGGGACTTTAACTCTTGGGAATGGCGTAAATATTACTGGATTTAGCTTGTTTCCAGTGAAAACCATCATCAAGAATTTTCCAGTGCTTTACAACGAAAGTATATCACCTTGTGATTCATCTGATGTATTAGCCAAAGTCCCTAATGGTGGACGTAGCATTATGATTTGTTTTAGTAATGCAGTAGAAGTAGAGGACCAAATGGCGGCTATCTCAGAGTCGAAATTTGGAGGAGCCATCTATATTTCTGATGATCCAGATGTATTGTCATCCAATTTTTTTCCAAATCCTGGAGTTGTGATTAGCACCAAGGAAGGGAAACAAGTGATAGACTATGCAACCAAAAGTGCTAAACCAAAAGTCAGCCTCAGTTTCCAGGGAACACGTATTGATGTAAAGCCTGCTCCGGCTGTTTCTGCATTTTCCTCGAGAGGCCCCTCTCTAAGCTATCTGCAAGTAGCAAAGCCAGATATTATGGCACCAGGAGAGTTAATTCTAGCAGCCTGGCCATCAAACAATTCAGATACAGTTATTGGTGTCAATACATTTTTGGGTAGTGATTACCGTCTTGTATCAGGTACTTCCATGGCTGCTCCTCACATTGCTGGAATCGCTGCAATGCTTAAAGGAGCACATCCTGATTGGAGTCCTTCAGCTATTCGATCTGCCATGATGACCACTGCCAACCATTTGGATAATACTAAAAACCCCATCAAAACCGAGGATGGTAACAGCAATACTACATCATTAGCTATGGGAGCCGGACTTGTTGATCCAAACCGTGCAGTTGATCCAGGCCTGATATATGATGCCACTCCACAAGACTATGTGAATCTTCTCTGCTCCATGAATTTTACACTAGAGCAATTCAATACAATTGCTAGATCATCAGCTAAACACAACTGTTCAAATCCATCTGATGATATCAATTACCCATCATTTATTGCTCTCTTTAGCCCAATTGGGAAATACTCTAGGTTGGAGAAGAAATTCAGGCGGACAGTCACAAATGTTGGAGCCGGTGCAGCTAAGTATGTAGCAAAAGTGATAGCACCAAAAAGCTCGACAATTTCCATCTCTCCACAAACCTTAGTGTTTGAGAAGAAAAATCAGAAGCAGGACTACACTCTTACCATACGTTACAAAGGCATTGCAGATGACCAAGCACAATCTGGTTCAATCACTTGGGTTGAAGAGAACGGTCATCACACCGTAAGAAGTCCTATAGTAGTTGCTCCAGCGCTTGATGCCTGGACCTGAAATGCTGCAGTTGGCAAAACTGTTGCATTTCTAAGTTTGTAACTCTCCAAGAGAGTACTGTTGAAATTGGAACTGTTGCATTTGAGTTGTCAATAAAGCATGACTTTATTTCTGTCTAACATTTTTTTGCTACAAGAACTAAAATAAGCAGATGTTGAATTCAACTCATTAGATATCTGTTGGCGATATCACGATAAAGTAGTATATCCACTTAATGAACTCATGGCAAAATCTATGACTGCATAAAAGATGTAATGCTAGAACAACTGAAAATTCTAATCCGCTTGTTGTAAAGAGTGAGGAAACTAGAAAATTTATAGTGCCTAAGATGCCTTAGTTTCTGTGTATTCCCAGACATTTCGAAAGAATTATGACTAGCAGAGCTACACGAAAACAGAAAACCGATTAGCTTCATTTAATCATATGGATTGAAGAGGGGGGAAAACTTACTTTACCACAGAACAGAATTTTCACTTCACTAGTCATCAAGATAGAGATCATTAATCTGTTATAACATTCATACCGCTGGCTTTTCATGATTATACGATCTCAACAAAATTCTATACAGCATATTATGCAGAGACTTGATGCATAATTTTGCCTTGAAACAACCAAGTGTTTTCCGACTTTCCCGGAGATCAAATACATCTCAAGGAGGTCTACATAATCCTACATTAGAGAAATACGGTATTGAAGCCCTCGAATCACGGAGAAGTTTAGGAGAGAAAAAACAAGAGAACAACACGATTGTACTCACAAGATTCATCAATAAAAATCACATTTTCCTTTATTTATTTTGGTTGCAGATAATTTTCAATGCCACGAAAACTTGTTGCGATACGTCGAATTATAAAGGAAAAGAAGATGATAATTATTTTGGAAAAAATAGGTCTGAAGGATCATTTTAAGTAATTTAAATAAATTGAGCTAAAAACGAAAAATGCCGATATTTGCATAACTTGTCCGTACTAAATAAAACATCCATTAACAACATTGGTGAATATCCTATCTCCACCATGTTATACATGCTCTATTTATAAATACCTCTTGATGCAGAAAATTCATGATTATACGTCTCAAGAAAATTCGATAGAGCATATTATGCAGAAACTTCATGAATAATTTTGCCTTGTCAATAACAGATTTATTCATGGTATAAAACCTGAAAATTAAATAAAAACGATTGAAAAAATCAATTCAATAACTTCTCTTCTTCTTTTTTTGGCACAAAAGCATTGCATGTAATAAATAAATTATAATAATAGAAGAGCTAATAACTACAAAAATCATACGAAAATAATATATAAATAAAGAGTGAAGGCCTATAATTGGCAAAACCGTATATTTAATACAATATACGTTTCGAAATTGTTGCTCTGTTTAAAAAAAAAATCACTTTGATTCGGTTCTTCGGTATCTATGCCCACCAGTAGGTTTCTCCAGCTGAATACTCTCCTTGTAGATACATTGAATTGTAATGCAATTCAGCACAAAAACTCAAATAAATCATCTTGTTCGACTTGTGGTTACAATCACTTTGCGGAAGAATCTCAATGTAGTCGGTGTCCTTAAAAATGACAAATATCTTAACCCCATATGAATCTGCAGCAGCCTGCAGAGTTACATTATCACCCCATTCACCACAATTGCTCATTCTCTTTAAGTATTCATCATACTCTTCCACTGCAACAAACCCCTCATACAACTCTCCATAAAATTTTAGTTGTTTAACAACTTGTTCCCTTACTAATTTGTGATGCTCACAACTCCCATATATTTGATCCGAAATTGAGTGAAATTGACAGTTGCCATCTCCTGAAACTTCTTGTTCTACGAATTCGTATAATTCTAATCTCTCTCTCAGCCTTTGATGGCCTGATTTGGCTGAAATTCGTGGTAGTTCTTCACGGCCAATTATGTCATTGTTATTGTATGGCCTATGCTTAGAAAAATCCATGTAATATCAAGATTCCAATTCACGATGTCTTCTGTATCAGGATGAGGATCTGTTCTTTTAATTGGAGAAAGTAAGAAGAAAATTAAAAATTGAGAGACAAATCATATGTGAAATCAAGGTGTATATTTATATTGAAGAAAATATGTAACTATAAATCTAGTTTGAATCGGAATCCAAATAGGAATAGGAATCGGAAAAGGAACGAAAAGGACTTAATTAGGCATAGTTTCATAAAGTGTTTTGTTCTTACAAAATAAAATCCCGCTTAAAATTTGAAGAAGAGTTGTATAATTCTAAACTGAAATTAACACAACCAAATTAGAGAAAATAAATTAGGGAAATTAGACACCTGTAAGTTTGTCAACTTGATTTGAATCGAGTTGAAGAAACTGGAAACATGATATCACATATCTTTAGAGTACATCAAGTTACCAAGCAAGCATAAGTAGTAGGTTTTGTTCACGAGAAGATTGAACTGAGATGAAATAAGCTCGATCTTTTGGGAAAATGATTCTTTTTTGTGTTTAAATTTCTTTTGACATGTAGCGATATGTCTATGTTCTTGACATAACAATGTTTGCCCACCTCTGCGGTATTAACTATAGTGGTCATGTCAGAATTTTCACTAAAAGAATTCAAAATATAAAAAAGTAAATGCATGAAGAAGCCAAGGAAATTCAATTAAATCACAATAAATAAACACTTTTGACCCATTTTCACAACAGTTGTGTTCTCACGTTTGATAGGCATGTGGAGGAGTAAAAATACACCCTCAAACCAATGTAAAAATGTCACGTGGCACATTCAATTTGAGTTTTCTTCTTTATTAAAAGACCTACTTCCCATCTTCTCCAAAATCTCCATTGATAGATGTTGAAGAGTTTTCCATCTACAATAAAAAAAAAAATCTTCATCCTCAACGAATTTTTCATCTAGCTTTATTAGCTTCAGTTTCTTCCTTTTTAATTTTATTTAAAAGTTATGAAATCAACTAATTTGCAAATTTTGAAAGTGCAATTACAAATAAATTTCAAAAAACTAAATTAGTGAAAAAATATTTAAACTCAAATCAGTCCTAAATTAACACTAATAATAACAAATCACCCAATTAGTTGGGTCGGATGTGTTGTATTACTGGTATGGTCCTGATCAAACGAAGAAAAGATAATGGACGGTTCTCATAGGTTTACCAACTAACTATTTCAGCTGAATTTTTGAATGTAGTTAACACCTATGTTGCTTGGACTTTTTAAAAGTGTTGCTGCACCTGTGTCGGATCCTCCAAAAAAGCATTATTTTTGAAGGATCCGACACACATACAGCGGCATGTTTGAATAGTCCAACCAACATAGGTGAGCACACAACTAGCAAAAGTCTCCACAGATCCACTGACTCAACAGACAAGTCTTGGAAAATGACAGCTAACCGATTGGTCAAATTGCACTATCTACTTCACAAAATCTTTTCTTCTGTTATAGAAAAAGACAGATAACCAACAATGGCTGTTTCATAAGGGTGTATATTATAAGGAGGCTTTGTTATAGTAGGAAACACAAAGTGTAGAGAAAAAACTATGAGAGGAGTACCTTTTCTTCTCTTTTCTTGGTTTCTTTTTGGCCCTTCTTTATTATTAGCAGAGAGGTCTACTTACATTGTCCATTTGGACAAGACTTTTATGCCTAAAATATTTGCTACTCACCAAAACTGGCATTCTTCCATTATTGATACCATCAAGATTGAAGCTCCCACTACACAAAATGGCTACCATCCAGTTCCAAAGCTTCTTTATTCTTACGACAATGTGCTTCATGGCTTCAATGTTGTTTTGTCTAAAGATGAATTTGAAGCTCTCAAGAAGTCACCAGGTTTCCTTTCAGCTTATAAAGATAGGCCTGTTGAAGCTCACACAACACATTCCTCTAAGTTTCTTAACCTCAATCCTGCTTCTGGGCTATGGCCTGCTTCTGGTTTTGGTCAAGATGTGATCATTGGTGTACTCGACTCTGGTGTATGGCCAGAATCTGCCAGTTTCAGAGATGATGGATTATCTGAAATTCCCAAAAAGTGGAAAGGAATTTGCAAGCCAGGTACAAAGTTCAATTCTTCATTGTGCAACAGGAAGCTCATTGGGGCAAATTATTTCAATAAGGGGCTTTTGGCTAGTGATTCTACTGTGAAGATTTCAATGAATTCCGCCAGGGACACTGATGGACATGGCACTCATGTTGCTTCCATTGCTGCTGGTAGTTTTGCTAAAGGAGCTTCATATTTTGGATATGCTCCTGGAACAGCAAGAGGTATGGCGCCGTGAGCTAGGATAGCTGTGTATAAGTTTAGCTTCGAAGAAGGGACTGTCACTTCTGATTTAATTGCTGCTATGGACCAAGCTGTTGCAGATGGTATTGATGTAGTAACCATTTCTTATGGGTGGACTAATATTCCATTGTATAAAGATTCTATTGCGATAGCTTCGTTTGGTGCCATGATGAAAGGTGTCTTAGTCTCTGCTTCAGCTGGGAATAGTGGCCCTAAAATGGGAACTTTAAATAATGGAGTCCCTTGGATATTTACTGTGGCAGCATGTGATTCTGACCAATCATTCTCCGGGACTTTAACTCTTGGGAATGGCTTAAAGATTACTGGATTTAGTTTGTTTCCAGTAAAAACCATCATCAAGGATTTGCGAGTACTTTACAACGAAAGTATATCTCCTTGTGATTCATTTGACCCATCATCTCCAATCCCTAATGCTCAACGTAGCATCATAATTTGTTATAGCACTGCAGTAGATGTAGAGGATCAAATGGCGGCTATCTCAGAGTCAAGTTTTGGAGGAGCCATCTATATTTCTGATTATCCAGATGTACTGCGAGCCAAATTTTTTCCAAAGCCTGGAGTTGTGATTAGCACCAAGGAAGGGAAACAAGTAATAGACTATGCATCCAAAAGTGTTAGACCTACAGCCAGCATCAGTTTCCAGGAAACACATATTGATGTTAAGCCTGCTCCAGTTGTTTCTTCATTTTCCTCGAGAGGCCCTTCACGAAGCTATCTGCAAGTTGCAAAGCCAGATATTATGGCACCAGGAGTGTTAATTTTAGCAGCCTGGCCATCGAACATTTCAGCTGCAGTTATTGGTGTCAATACATTTTTGGATAGTGATTACCGTCTTCTTTCAGACACTTCCATGGCTACTCCTCACATTGCAGGAATTGCGGCAATGCTTAAAGGAGCACATCCTGATTGGAGTCCTT